TAAAATAATATTTTTATTATATTTTTAAAAATATTTTTAACATATATTTAAATAATATTTTTTATTATATTTTTAAAAATATTTTAAATATTAATTTATCAAAATAATTTAAAAACATTAAAACTATTTAATTTTAAATAAAAAATTAAAATTTTAAATTTTCAATTTTAAATAAAAAATTAAATTTTAAAATTTTTAAATATTTTTAAAATAAAAAAATAAATAGCATCTAACCTTTACGCTAGAAGCTTGAATTTACTGATGTTAAGATTCACGGATGGAAATAAATATTTTTAAAATACAAAAAATAAATATCATCTAACCTTTACGCTAGAAGCATGAATTTACTCATGTTAAGATTCACGGATGGAAAAACAAAGTAGATTGATTGTCGCATATCACCTATTTACGAAAAAAACAAAAAGAACACTATTGTTTCAATTAAACTGAGTATTTTTCCTCGTCATTTAACTCCTGATTTATTAATATTAAAATTAAGATTTTAAAAATAAAAAAAATATTATTTTAATATAAAACATTTTTAAAATAATCTCGTTACAATCACCCCGACAATATGATATATCTATCTCTCAAAAAACCAAGTTGCCATCAAAATCAGTACAATTACTTGCGTACGATGAGAAAGCTTGTAATAATATGGCTAACCATAATTGAATCAGAATATCGATGCAAGGACTGCACATGATACGATAAGAAAAGGTTTTTTTTTATTTTTTTAAATGTAATTACAGTTATTTTTTAAAATATTTTTTTTTATTTTTTAACAATTATTTTTAAGATAGCTTATAAAAATAATCTAAAATATAAAAAATTAATTTTAAATAAAAAATTAATTTTTTATAAAATATAATTCATACAGTATTTCCAATCTAAGTTTAATAAAAAACAATATCTAAAGGAACAAACATGTGTAAACTTTAAGAATACCAATTGAATATGGCCGTGTCTTCAGCACTCGTAACATCATCATGCTCCAGCTCTTTTCATTACCAAGGCACGGAAATACCTTTGAAATGACTTCAAAAGCTTTCTAGAATCCAGGAGACTTTATTATTATTATTATTATTATTATCATCATTAAGATGCACGAGATTGGTGACTCGTAAGTTACGTTGTATATTCATCATTTCTTTCTTAATTTACTGCAATGGTAATATTTAAAAAGAAACAAAAAAAAAACCCAAAATTCAAGTTGTTAGCTTCATTGGATACAATAAAATTAATAAAATCAAGTAATGCACTAATCTAATCTAAAATTATAGATAATAATAGCATATAAATCATATAAAAAATATGTTTTAATAATTAATTAAAACAAATAAACTATCAATATCATATTAAAAAAAAGATATTAGTGATTCGATGTCATTCCTCTGTAAATATTGTTCACGATTAAAAAAATATTTGTTGAAACAATTCAAACTCTAATATAAAAATTTATTAAAATTTATTTTAACAAGAAATAAATAAAAAGACTCGCTAAAACTTAATTAAATAAAAAGACAAAGGACTCTGGAAAAACACTTTCATTTATAGAAATACTAAACTTCCTCGCCCCAGCCCATTAACTACACAAAACCAGCAATATAATGATAGAAATATCCTCTTACCAAAGGGTTAAAAACTTAAACTTCAAGGGCAAGTTGATAGTTTTGTTGTGCATATCAAATAGAAATACAAAAAAGCCCCCTCACTGTAATTAAACTTTTTATTATTATTTTAAGGGTAAATAAATTATTTTATTGGATATATTTTATATGAAAATACAAAATTAACCCTCTAGCTTAATAATTTATTTTTTTAAGGTAGTAATGTAAATCTACTGCCATCAACATAAAATATCCCTCATGCACCCAATCCACTTAAAGATTCCATAATGTTCTTATGGCAAAGACAATTCTGCCCTTGACTACTAGCCTGTTAACTTTTTTTTCACAGGGCAAGAAGGTAAAAACATTGTTCTTGTCCAAGTTGTGATGTCTCTAGGTGAAGAATGTTTTCATCTTCTATATATTTCGTTTTTTTAAATTTTTTAACATATTTTTTTTTATTTTTTAACAATTATTTTTAAGATAACGTATAAAAATAATCTAAAATATAAAAAATTAATTTTTTTATAAAATATAATTCATACAGTATTTCCAATCGAAGTTTAATAAAAAACAATATCTAAAGGAACAAAACATGTGTAAACTTTAAGAATACCAATTGAATATGGCCGTGTCTTCAGCACTCGTAACATCATCATGCTCCAGCTCTTTTCATTACCAAGGCACGGAAATACCTTTGAAATGACTTCAAAAGCTTTCTAGAATCCAGGAGACTTTATTATTATTATTATTATTATCATCATTAAGATGCACGAGATTGGTGACTCGTAAGTTACGTTGTATATTCATCATTTCTTTCTTAATTTACTGCAATGATAATATTTAAAAAGAAACAAAAAAAAAACCCAAAATTCAAGTTGTTAGCTTCATTGGATACAATAAAATTAATAAAATCAAGTAATGCACTAATCTAATCTAAAATTATAGATAATAATAGCATACAAATCATATAAAAAATATGTTTTAATAATTAATTAAAACAAATAAACTATCAATATCATATTAAAAAAAAGATATTAGAGATTCGATGTCATTCCACTGTAGATATTGTTCACGATTAAAAAAATATTTGTTGAAACAATTCAAACTCTAATATAAAAAATTATTTTAACAAGAAATAAATAAAAAGACTCGCTAAAACTTAATTAAATAAAAAGACAAAGGACTCTGGAAAAACACTTTCATTTATAAAAATACTAAACTTCCTCGCCCCAGCCCATTAACTACACAAAACCAGCAATATAATGATAGAAATATCCTCTTACCAAAGGGTTAAAAACTTAAACTTCAAGGGCAAGTTGATAGTTTTGTTGTGCATATCAAATAGAAATACAAAAAAGCCCCCTCACTGTAATTAAACTTTTTATTATTATTTTAAGGGTAAATAAATTATTTTATTGGATATATTTTATATGAAAATACAAAATTAACCCTCAATGCTAGCTTAATAATTTATTTTTTTAAGATAGTAATGTAAATCTACTGTCATCAAAACATAAAATATCCCTCGTGCACCCAATCCACTTAAAGATTCCATAATGTTCTTATGAAAAAGACAATTTTACCCTTAATTATTAGCCTGTTAGCTTTTTTTCACGGGGCAAGAAGGTAAAAACAATGTTCTTGTCCAAGTTGTGATGTCTCTAGGTGAACAATGTTTTCATCTTCTATATATTTTGTTTTTTTTTTTTAATTTTAAATGATATTATCTTAAATATTAAATTTGACATTTGATCACACATGAGAAATCAAATTGAAAAAAAAAACTTGGTTCGTTTAAGTTTTTTCATGAATATTTTTTATTCTTGTTCAAAATAAGTTTTATTTGTTCTATATGAAAAAATAAAAATCTCACCCAAAACAATCCCACCGAGGTTTCTATTTATCCATACTGCCCACATATATTTATATAAAAAAAACCCATCTAAGGTTACCCTAATATCAAAGTAATATAATTTATTAGAAATAGAAAGAAACAGAAAAGAGAATAATTTATAATACCATTTTCCAAATTTAAATATTTAGCATCTAATAAAGCAAAATAAAGCATAGCAACAGGGCATCATAAGTTTCATTCAATGTTTGATACTTTTCAGGGTGGGCTAGGCGACATAAAAATGTCCGAGAGAAATAATAAATATATTTTGTCTGGTTTCAAAAATTACAAAAAAAATCATGAACTTTAATAACATTTTACACGCTGCCAAAACAAATCAACAAAAAAAACTTTAATTAGCTACAAAATTATTATTATATTTTATTTAATAACTAAAAAAACGTTTGGTGCATTAAAATAGTAAAAATACCGCTAAATAGAAAAGCTGCATGCACCACCTCTACATGAAAAAACTCAAAGATAAATCTAATGTGGCCCCTGGATAATATTTGTGGTTTTCAAAATTAGCTGCAAATATTATTTGAAAATATTACAGCGGCTGACGCTTGTCCGGTACATGCCAACATTATTTTTAATTCTTTTTTATTTATTAAAATATAAAATTAATTCTTATTTTATTTCAGTTTCATCACTAAAAATATAAATTTAGCATATTAATTCTTAATTTTTTATAAGATTATCTTAATTTTAATTTTATGAATTATAAGTTTGGTGAAATTTTATAGATTATAAGTTTGGTGAATTAACTGTGATTTTTTTCTATACTATTTTTTTAATTGAATTTTTTTTAATCTTATCTTTTAATATAAAATTGATTAAAAATTAAAATTTATTATTTATTTTAATTTTTTTTTTATTTATGTTATCTCAATTTTAAAAACTGGATTGTAATTTTGACAAGTTAACTTAAACTATTTTTTTAAACATTATGATGTTCTAAAACACATTTATATGACTAGAAATATATAAAGTTAATTGAAAAAAAAAAGTTTTGAATGCTATAGATTTTTAAAGTGTTTGGAATAGTGGTAGTAATTACTTTTAAAAGTATTTTTTATTTATAAATATATTTAAATATTTTTTATTTTTTATATCATTACATTAAAAACACGTAAAAAAATATTAATTTAATATAAAAATAAATTTTCTTGAAAACTCCTGTTGAAATGATTTCTCAAAAGAAAACTCAAAGGGTGTATAAGATAATGATAGTGATAGTTTTTAAAAGTATTTTTTATTTGAAAATATATTAAAATAATATTTTTTAATTTTTTTAAATTTATTTTTAATATTAATATATTAAAAAAATTAAAAATTAATTTAAATAAAAACAATTCATGATTTCATGAAACTTCTATCTAATCATCAATCAAATGGGCTTGGGCTTTTGGGGGCTCTCAGATTGATTTTACAGTTTACTTACATGGTTAGCTAAACAATAACAGCAAAAGATTTTCTTGGCGGACCCTCGACCGAACTCAGGCCCATATGCTAGTTGCATCCCCTTCGGGTTCTCCCTGCGGTGTTTCTTTGCATCAGCACTGCTCTGTAGATTCTTAATGCTTTTGCTTCTAGTGGAATTTCCTCAGCTATCGGTCCTTGGAAAATCACTTCAGAGAAACCTTCTTTCTGTCCAAATCGATCTGGGAGTCACAACGAGTTTAGGCCTCTTAGACAAGCGGGTTTCATTTTAAACATGGCTGTGGTCGATGTAATCAAATCATGCCTTGATTCCATTTCCCAAGTAAGATTTCTTTTCTGGTCAATTTTGGTTTCTAGATCTTAGGTACTGGGTATCATTGAATCATTTTGTTTTCCTTCAGTTACAATTCTGATTATATGTTTCTGAATTTTATGTTTGTTGGTTAGATATCAGAGCATGTTGAGGGTGCCATTCTTTATCTCGATTCTGGATGCACGGAAAGTTTCCAATTCGCTGGAGCATTTCCTGTGCTGCTCAAACTTGGAGTGAGAGCTATTTGCAGCCTGGAAAACATGTGTTCGCTTGATTCGGTCAGCATTTGTTTCAAAATATATATAACATCAATGTAGTAAATCGACATTTTCATTTGCTTTGTTTGATAGTTCTGATCATCAAGTTCATGCCGTTTAGTTCTCCCCAGAAGCTCTAAACTAAAACCAACTCGCTCAGCAGAACTTGTTTCCTTCTTTTGTCTCTGAATTAGGCTGTGATACTAATCCTAGAAGAAGATGGAATCACGAAACAAACTATTAGTTTTTTTCTTTTTAATTACAGTATAATTGTTTAACGTCGAACAATCTCAAAGCTCTAAGAAACGCTTCTTGTATATGAAAAATGCACCAATAGTTAAACATTTTCACACTCACACACACCTGTGTGTATCCATGTTTGATCAATGATCGGTTTGGACGATGCCAAGTTACTTTTCTAACTAAGATAAAGCTATCTCACTGCCACATGTCATGTTATTTCTTCCTTTTTTTTTTTTTTAACTTCAAGTCTCATGCAGCACTTTTGCACATGGATTCTTTCTCTAGGTGGTTAATTGGAACTCAAATTCCGATCCTGCATTGAAAATTGTGGTTATGACATCTCGTCTACTAAGCGATGCACATCGATATATTCTACGTTGCCTGAGTACACATAAAGGTGTTCATCAATGTACAGTATTTACATCTATCTCTGAGGTATTTCTTTGGAATCCAACAAAAATTATGCCTCAATCCCAAACTTCTTATATTTGAGAGGATACCTATGGATTCTATCATCTTATAATTTGCCTTGTGAGGTTAAATCTTACTAAATGCTCTGCCAATTGTAGCTAGCCCAATCAGCGTACCCTGATTCACCTCTGGGACCAGATGCATTCCATGAGTATGAAATCTTGCTTCTTCAAGATTATGAGGAGATTGTAAAGAAGAGTCAGAAAAAAGCTTCGCACCCAGAGGTTAGCAACTTCCAGGAAAGTTTAACATTTGAAGATGAAGGATGGTCACGGCTCACATCCAGTGAAGAGGCTGTCTCTCACTCTGAAGCTACTTCAAGTGGGAAATATTTTTTTGGAGATAGCCATACAGAATATTTAGGGAAAAAACTGGTCGTTTTGGTGCATCACTTTCCCATGATTTTGTGTCCCTTTTCTCCTAAAGTTTTTGTGTTGCCTTCAGAGGGTTCAGTTTCTGAAGCATACTTGTCAGCCAAACATGAGGATTCTCTTAGCCCTGGATTGCCTCCTATAAGTACTGGAGTGCCTCCTGATGGTGATGATGTTCCTCCTGGGGCCCTTCTTACAGCGCATTTTCTTTACCATCTGGTTGCTAAGGTAGCAAGTGTGCATCTTCTTAAACACATGCGAGTTTGTTTTTCTCCTTCAGTGTACACTAGTTTATTTATTATAGATATTTTCCTTGAGAGTTTTGTGCAAATACCTCTATAATCACGGTGTTCTTATTCTTTATATTATCACAGTATCAAAAACACTGGATTCTATGAAAGCTGAGATGATGAAAACCCTGGCAATGTTATTTTATTTTCTTGTTTCAAAGGGATGAAATCTCTAAAGCACATTTAGAGTTATTCTCCTTGAACAATCTTACTTCTTTCAGAACTGAAACTGGTAAATTCCAGAAGCATTTTTCCTTCAGGAAAAAAATAATGTTAGTGAGGTATTCTCATTGTGGAAAGCATTTGTCAGGCATGTTCTTGACTGGCAGCTGAGTACAGTTTGGAGGCAGGATCATAAGTGATTTTTGTATGTGCTCTGGCAAAGTTCTTTTCAGCAGAAATTGCATCAAATCAATCTTGTCTGGGTGTTTTTTTTATGGTTTTGATATGGAATGTCAAAACCTTAAAAAAAAAAAAAAAGAACATCAATTTGATGCATTTTCAGCTAGAAAGCACTTCGCAAGGTACTGCCAAATACACAATCATTAAAGAAGGCTGTTGTAGAAATCTTACAATTTATGGGTTTTTCTAAACTATATTAAAGCTTGGAATGCAAATTACAAATCATCTCTCCAATTTCTTTCCTGCATTTATTTGGTTACTTACTGTGACATCATTGACAGTATAGTGTAACAGCTTTGGTTTTGGTTTTTGAAATTTGCAGATGGACCTGAAAATGGAAATATTTTCCCTTGGTGATTTATCAAAGACTGTTGGGAAGATTATGACAGACATGTCAAGTCTTTATGATGTGGGGCGCCGTAAACGTTCTGCTGGGCTGTTACTCATTGATCGCACACTTGATCTCCTTACTCCATGCTGCCATGGGGATTCACTTGTTGATTGTATGTTTTCATCTTTGCCCCGAAGAGAAAGAACAACATCCTATTCCTCCATGAAAGGTTCAAAAACCCAACTCAAACTTGTTCCTTCTAGCCTACAACGTGCACCTCTTGATGTTCAGATACCTCTTGGAAAAATATTACAAGAAGAAAAATCCGATACAAATGATGATGTTCAGATACCTCTTAGAAAAATATTACAAGAAGAAAAATCCGATACAAATGATTCTCAGCTCGCAGAAAGAATTGAAGCTTTTCTGGGTGGGTGGGATGCCTGCAATTCTTCTCCTGAAACTGTGGACTTAGTAAATCTCTGCAATAAAGTTCATGATGGGAAGTCCTTTCTCTCTGAGATTCAGCTGCTCAATGGATCCTTTGTTTCCACTGAAACATTTCGTGGAACACCATTTATGGAAGCTATTTTGGACAGAAGAACAAAAGATGGAGCATTGCTGGTAAAGAAGTTGCTTCAGGAAACACTACGTCGGCAAAATATCACTGTTAATGTAAAAATTCGTCCTGGTTTTGTTACAAAATCAGAGTTGCAACCTATGATCAGAGCACTGGCAAAAAGCCAGTCATCATTAATCAGAAATAAAGGAATAATTCAGTTAGGAGCAGCTGTACTTGTGGCGCTTGATGAATTAAATAGTGCCAGATGGAATGCATTTGCCAGTGCTGAGAAAATATTGAGTGCCACTGCAGGAGATACAAGCCAGAGTCTTGGCGCTCAAATTGGTGATCTTATCCATAAGAGTACTATGCTGGGATCAGATGGAGACAAGAAAACAGAGCATTTGCAAGGGTTACTTTCTTTTAAAGATGCTTTGCTCCTTATGACAGTGGGATATATATTAGCTGGTGAGAATTTCCCTACCTC